AGTATCTGTGTATCATGTTACAGTATCTGTGTATCATGTTACAGTATCTGTGTATCATGTTGCAGTATCTGTGTATCATGTTGTAGTATCTGTGTATCATGTTGTAGTATCTGTGTACCATGTTACAGTATCTGTGTATCATATTACAGTATCTATGTATCATGTTACAGTATCTGTGTATCTTATTACAGTATCTGTGTATCATGTTGCAGTATCTGTGTATCATGTTGCAGTATCTGTGTATCATATTGCAGTATCTGTGTATCATGTTGTAGTATCTGTGTATCATGCTGCATTATATGTGTATCATATTGTAGTATCTGTGTATCATGTTACAGTATCTGTGTATACAGTATCTGTGTATCATATTGCAGTATCTGTGTATCATGTTGTAGTATCTGTGTATCATGTTACAGTATCTGTGTATCATATTGCAGTATGTGTGTATCATGTTGTAGTATCTGTGTATCATGCTGCATTATATGTGTATCATATTGTAGTATCTGTGTATCATGTTGCAGTATCTGTGTATCATATTGTAGTATCTGTGTATCATATTACAGTATCTGTGTATCATGTTGCAGTATCTGTGTATCATATTACAGTATCTGTGTATCATGTTACAGTATATGTGTATCATGTTGTAGTATCTGTGTATCATGTTGCAGTATCTGTGTATCATGTTGCAGTATCTGTGTATCATGTTGCAGTATCTGTGTATCATGTTGCAGTATATGTGTATCATGTTGTAGTATCTGTGTATCATGCTGCATTATATGTGTATCATATTGTAGTATCTGTGTATCATGTTGCAGTATCTGTGTATCATATTGTAGTATCTGTGTATCATATTACAGTATCTGTGTATCATGTTACAGTATATGTGTATCATGTTGTAGTATCTGTGTATCATGTTGTAGTATCTGAGTATCATGTTACAGTATCTGTGTATCATGTTGCACTATCTGTGTATCATGTTGTAGTATCTGTGTATCATGCTGCATTATATGTGTATCATATTGTAGTATCTGTGTATCATGTTGCAGTATCTGGGTATCATGTTACAGTATCTGTGTATCATGTTACAGTATCTATGTACAGTATCTGTGTATCATGTTACAGTATCTGTGGATCATGTTGTAGGATCTGTGTATCATGTGGCAGTATATGTGTATCATGTTGTAGTATCTGTGTATCATGTTGTAGTATCTGTGTATATAGTATCTGTGTATCATATTGCAGTATCTGTGTATCATGTTACATTATCTGTGTATCATGTTACAGTATCTGTGTATCATATGGCAGTATCTGTGTATCATGTTGTAGTATCTGTGTATCATGTTGCAGTATCTGTGTATCATGTTGTAGTATCTGTGTATCATGTTGCAGTATCTGTGTATCATATTGTAGTATCTGTGTATCATGTTGCAGTATCTGTGTATCATGTTGCAGTATCTGTGTATCATGTTACAGTATCTGTGTATCATATTGCACTATCTGTGTATCATGTTACAGTATCTGTGTATCATGTTGCACTATCTGTGTATCATGTTGTAGTATCTGTGTATCATGTTACAGTATCTGTGTATCATGTTACAGTATCTATGTATCATGTTACAGTATCTGTGTATCATGTTACAAAGACTGTTACTTTATCCACAGTTCCTGAGCCTGAAGGTTGGCGATGACAGACAGAAGCTGATCCCGGTGTTGTGTACTATGTTGAAACTGAGCCCGGAGGAGAAGTCTCTACTGGATGCCGTAGCTCAGGGTCAGTGTTAGATACATCACAGTCATGTTATCCTTTTAGCTCATCTTCTGCAGACGTTAATATTTTTATGAACATTTTAGTTTTAGTTCTGTGCTTTCCTTGATAGCTAAATTATGTATGGGGGTGAATTGTAATCTCAGTTTCATGGAGACTTTTTGTACTTTGACATGATTACTTCAGTTTGGTCATCGATCCAATTATTAAGATATGATTGCTTATACATATATTATGTATGTTTACAGTTTTAGATACATGATAGAGGATCTTTTCTGACTCTATTTGTTCTTTTACAGGTGAAGATCAAGGTCAACAAGCTCAGGCAGCAGGCTGGGGTGCATATCTCCATCGATGGTCGGGGCTGGCTGGCTAGTGACCATCTAATGTTGCACTGGACCACCACACAGAAACGGAGGATCTTTCTCTCCTTTATAAGGCTAGCACTTTAAAAGCTTCTGATTTTTAAATCAGCATTAATATAGATCTGAATATTCTCAAACACCCACAGTTTGGATTTATATCTTCGTCAAATAGTGCTGCTAGAACTATGCTTGCATTTATGTGATTTATGTAAAGGGCTTGACCATAGAACTACTGATCAGTTTGAACACTGATCTAGGTCCTACCTGTATCAAAGTGAACCCTTGCTACAGAGCTGCCAAGCGGAAATGTAATGACCTTACATGTGTATCAGTTGGCGGTAACTACAGGTAGCTCCAGTGTTTGCAGACAGCAGTACCCAAAACATCAAGGCTTCAATTTTACTTTTCAAATGAGAGCTTTTTTGTTGTTCTCAACATTTCTGGTTTTGGAATATGTATAATTACAATTATTTCAATCTTAGGAATTAGTTTCCACTGTTGTAGGAGATGCCACTTTTAACAGCATGGAAATATTATCTCTTTCTTTGGTTAAAGTTGTGTTTTTCCATGTTGAATAACGGAAAACCAAATTTATCGACACTTGCTTAGGCAAAACTGTTTGAAAAGATTGTAAAACATGGATTTTCGGAGATAACTGAAAGATATATAAATATATATGTTTTCTGACAAGTGATCTGGTTGGGGTACTCCAATGATACTGCCATACTTACAGTCATGAATTAATAACATTTGGACCAACAAGTGGTCAAAGTTCATACTATAATTCTTGTAAAGTGTGGGGCTATAGTAAAGGCTAGCTCTAGTGTAAACTGTTATAGATCTTTGTAACACCAGTCACAGTAAGCACCATTGCACCATTGAGCCTATTCCTATTCCGTCACAAGGTAGACAAAGGTTGAATCTTAATACCTGTGTAGTTTGATGGTTGTGACTTTGACCTTGGACAATGGTCAAAGACATCAACTTTACTTTATAACATTCCACTGTTGTCTTGTCAGAATTTCTGACATACCGGTCATAAAAAGGTACATGCAATAAATATGTGCTTACATGACAGCTTGTATATTAATATAGGAATCAAATACAAACACCATTGTGTTTAATGTGATTGATTGTCTCTGACAATTGCCACTGAAGTTTTTACTGATACGGTTACAATTTAGTATGAAATTAGTACAATTTAAACAGAATATCAACACATTTACTTATTTGTTTTGCATTATCAGACAGATGCAGAAGATTTTTCCAGCATCCTTTTCATTCAACTCTATCACAATCCACAGGTTGCTTTTGAACATAACATTTCCGGGAGTAAAATCTGACACACCTGTAAAGATTAATACTAGTCTTGTACAGCATCAGACTAGTTGCTCCGCCATTATAAAACTAATAACTCTGATCCACCTGGAAACTTTTTTTGAAAGTTGTTTTCCCCATCAGTGATTTAGAAATACAATGGATTTTTAAAGCATGACTAACTTTATGAGTTGTTAAACTTAAGTTAAGACCTATTCTCAAAATGCACTTTTGAAAAATGTCTGAAAATTTACATACCGGGTACAAGGTATATTTTTGTATTTTGTCTATGCAGATGACAATTCTAGATCCCTAAAGATATAGTTTTATTTTTGAATTTTAATGTATTTCAAAAGAAAATGGACACACTTTTGTGTTCAACTGTTGCTAAGTTGATCAGATTTGATAGGACTGGTCCCATTAGGTGTCCAGGCTAACAAGGTCCCACAGTAACTTGCTGTTACAGTAAGACTCTTCTTACATACAAAACATCAGACAAGGTTTTGTATATTCAGGGAAAATCCTGCAATTTGAGAGCAATGGGCCATTTCAGCAATTTCTAGTCAATATCAAAATTAAGAGGGACCATTCTATGTAAACTTGAAAGAAATTTGGATCATAGAGGGGTCAATTTAAGTTTTGATGGGTCAATGGCCAGGATTATCCCTGATATTGCTTGGGAAATTATATTACATGCATTTACCTGATATTGTTAAATAGAACAAGATTTAAATCAAAATCATGTTGTTATTTATCAAATTGAATGAATATTTTGATCACATAAATCTGTGACTAAAATTATACATTTTCATATTAGATAGAGATCTTTATCTAATACTATTCAGCATTTGTTTTCATGTACGGTAGAAACAATTTTACTACTCTTCTAGTAGAAGTAACTATTTTTTATACTTTGTAATTTCATAGTTTAGGTTAATTATATCTTCTTGTTCAATGTGTTACAAGGTACCAGGTGTCACAAGTCTTATTCTGCGTTCCTTTTTGTAAATATCCTGTATGAATGTAAAAATTGAATACCGGTATATGGATCCAATAGGATCTATCCAGACGGATAAGTCCTGTCAGATATGTCCAGCAGATCAATCCATTCTTTGTTTCGGGAATGACATGGAGAATTTATTTTCAAGATATGACAAGAAACATGATTATTTTTGTGTAAATTAGGGGAGGGTGATCAGAAATATTTGAATAGATGTACCAGTGTTGTTTTTTGTTCATACTACACTACATGTGATAATTGATTTGAGGTTTTCTGTTTTTAAATATGCGGATGATCATTTGGTTATATTACATGAGGAAGTCAGAAATATGAGTACGTTGTGTATCAGAGGGCGATTTCTGCTTCAGTAATAGTTATGAAAATATCAATGATTTAAATTTGATATGTCCTGACTCCTTAAGCTGAGGAAGCATGTTATCTTTTACAATAATAGTTATTGATTAGTAGAGTGTAGCCGTCATATGTGTTGACTTAAGTTTTTTGTTACCTGTACACATGAGCATGTTGACAAGGTTTGATTATCTGTACCAATGTGTTGACATGAAGTTGGACTACTTTTACACATGTGTTGACATTGTTGACAACTTAATATTTTGAAGTCAGATTTGACATCCTGTACACATTTCTGATTAACAGTTGGACTACCGATACAAAAATGCTGACATTAGATTTAACCAACTGTTCACATGTATTTATGCAATATCTGACTATCTGTTTCACATGTGTTGACATAGGATTTGACGGACTGTCCACATGTTGACATAGGATTTGACGGACTGTCTACATGTTGACATAGGTTTTGACGGACTGTCTACATGTTGACATAGGATTTGACAGACTCTCTACATAGGATTTGACAGACTGTCCACATGTTGACATGTTATTTGACGGACTGTCCACATGTTGACATTTGACATAGGATTTGACGGACTGTCTACATGTTGACATAGGATTTGACAGACTGTCTACATAGGATTTGACGGACTGTCCACATGTTGACATAGGATTTGACGGATTTGACAGACTGTCCACATGTGTTGACATAAGATTTGACCAACTGTTCATATGTGTTGACATCAGATTTGACTATCTGTCCACATATATGGACATAGGATTTGACAGACTGTCCATATGTGTTGGCATAAGTTTGGACTATCTGTAGACATGTGTGGATAGACTAAAATATCCTCTTTCCAAAAGTTTTGTATTCAAAATTAGCCATGTTAGAGCTGTGATTGTCAGTATTATTTCTACAATTTTTTTGTATTAAGCTAAATCCAGCTTTGAACAAATTGGCATTATATGTGATTGAATATTTGCGGGTAAGTTGAATTTGTTCATGGGTTTGATTGTCTAAGTGTCCAAATTTTCCTGTTTGTGATGCCGAAGATACTTTAAAAGTGCAGGAACTCATGTGTATGTCCCTTTAAAAGCTGTGGTAAATGTATGGGTTCTAGACTACCCACACCCCTGTATGGCTTACGAATTCATGTAAAATGATGCCTTTTCAATGTTTTCTAGTAAGTTTACTCTCCCTAGACCCACCACTAAGGCAAAGTGAGAACTCTGTCCTATGCTTCCAGAGCAACTTATGTTTATAAACTCCCTTACAAAAGGGAAACCAACAAGTCCAAGTGAAGTGATACCATATTGTGCCACAATGAATATTGACTGTCAGAGTGAAGTGTGCGAACCTGCAGGTGCTACAAACCTAGAGGTAGTAGTACTTGATCTTGCTGTATGAAAAGAAATCCAATGTTGCATTTTATGAAATACCAGCAATTGAACAAATTTCATTGTTATGTAGGACACAGGATTTTCTTTACCTTTTTACATCTTCTGTATGCTTATTCAAAGATAACAGTATATGGTATAGAACAAAAATATCCTATACATTTTTAACTTTGAATTAAATCTAATATTGTTATAATTTCACCCCTCTTAAAAACAATAAATCTGGTTTTCACCAAGAAATATCCTGTAGTAATACTGGAAAAACACTTCTCACTAAATACAAACCTACATGCTCCTACGGTGTACTGTTCAGTGTTAGATTCTTAAAAAGACAACTCTGATTTTCTATAATGGAGTTTCTATCATTCATCTATGCATTGTGATAAGAATATTGTGATTAGGAATGACAGTGTGACTGTATTTCACCCTTTCACTCCTATGTTACTTGAGTAGACTCTACCATGCATTGATATGGATGAGTCCATTATGGTCTACAGTAGTGAAAGGTTTAACTCGGATATCAGGCTGTAGATTATATACACAAGTGCTTCAAACCAATTCTAGAAGTTTAAAGCTCTGTGATTATGCAAAAAAGAAAATATTTATAACTAATTGTTTGTTTCCAATATTACCAATGTCCCTAATAAAAAGCTTGTTATATGTATGTAACTATTTGTGATATAAATGTATATATCTTCATATGACCTTAGCTGTTCCAGGGACCCAAAACCCTTAATAAACAATAAGTATTTCACAAATTCATGGCCATGGAGATTGTTTTCTTCGCTTACTCCTCACAAAATGTGAAATTCTGCCAGCTTTGGTCAAGTAACCTCCACCCCAGTATGTGATAAAAAGAATCTTAAATCAGTTCTAATTGTGCGTGAAATTATGAAATTCTCTGAAGCTGATTTCATCAGATTGTATGTTCACAAAATGGGAATTTGGTCGAGATCCTCTGTACTGTTAAACTTCTGAAAGTTCCAACAATTTTTGTGTTACACACGTCATGATTTAGCACACTAGATTAATATTTAACTTTTCAGGAATACAGTGATTTGTTACTATGTGATAAACATAATTTAGCATTTGCCAATAAGGCCTGAAAAGTGCTTAAATATGAAAGCCACCAAGATAAAAGAGTTGTATATTTATTGTAGTTAAATTTGTTTTGAATAGCTACTTTGTTTTATTGAAATAATAGTTTTCTACTGTAAAGTAAAATTTTGTTAAGATGTTAATAATAGTTTTCGACTGTCCACTAAGATAAGGTTATTTGTAATGTAGTTGTTACTTTTGTTAAGTATGGTACTTTGTTTTATTGAAATAAAAGTCTTTTACTGTTATGATTGTATTGCGAGTGAAAAGGTTCTGTAGCTATGGGAATCGTAGCTTCTAGGCCCGATCAGTTGGGTTTTTTTTTACGGTTCCTGCAGCTAAAGGTTCTGCAGATACATTAATTCTATTTTGCTCTGGACATTATATAAGTTATAGAAGTTTTCTATATTTTTGTCTTCTATTATGTATCCGTTGTGTTTAAATGCATGTTTTCAGATGTAAATTTATTTATCTAAAGTTTGAGTGATTGTGTTCAGATGGTAAAGTGTGCGTGAACCTTTATAATGACTTCCTGTCCGTTTATTTTTTACTGAATAATGAAAACAACTTATAATCAATATCATAAAATTTTGTTCGTCAAGGAATGACCAAGATTTTGGGGGATTTATATGGCTTTTTACTGAATAATGAAAACACATTATTATCAATATTATAAAATTATGTCCATCCATAATTGGCCAAGATCTTTGGAAGTTACACGGCATTTGCCAGAAAACCCGTCAAAATATTTTAATTAAAAAAGACTAACACATTTTAAATTTACAGTTTGCAACTATTTATTAATTTCAGACAGTTGAAATATGTTAAAAGCAGTTTCAGTGTATGACAAGACTTTAATATTTTTTAGGTTACAGAGTTAGTTACGATTTGGTTGTGTGTACATAATGTTAGGATCATTTCTTGAAAGAAAACCATAACTTACATAGCCAGCTAACAGCATTATATAAAGGAAAGAAGGAAAACTTGCTAATGCATGTAGCCTGTCCGATGAAGTGACATTGAATGTAACACCGAAAGTATATAGTGTTGATAAAATAAATAATAAGAACCACCAAATCTTACTAAATTTTAAATGATATATATACTCCTGAAGAATCCCACATGTTCGGGCGAAACCGGTAGACATACAATAAAGAAACCAACCTATCCTGAGCTTGTTGTGATTGAATATTGCCTTTAAATGATATATTATATGGCTTCCCTTTTTGCTTTTGATAAAATACTGGTGAATTTAACGATGCATAATATTGTTTTCATTAGCATCACCTCATGTTAAACTGAACACAAGTCATGATGCAGTTACAATTTAATATTTGTTTTTTCATTTGAAACCATCATTTGTTTAAAAAATTGCCAGTTGGAAGAGGTACCAAGGTTTCGTAACGTGTTTGGTTAACTTGTAGTGTAACACTTTTAGTAGGGAAAGGAAAGTTTTTTTTTACAGAGATTTCTATGGAAATTGGGTGAAAATTACAAGGGAGACATATCAGTAATATTTCCTATACTCTTGTAAATGAATGAGGTACACACTACACCTGATTGTGATCTTGTATAAATGGTGTTTTATTTTGTGCAATAATTCAAGTGGGGAAATAAAAGTTGAAAACAATTTGGATTGCTGTAGTCCTTTATTACATCTTCATACAATTTAGCTGACCAGTTGGAGTGCTTCACTTTGAGTACTGGAGGACATACAGGACAATTACAAACGTAGTGTATACCTGGTAAAAAATGTAGAAAGAGTGAAAAATCATCACAACATACTCCAGCATCACTCGTCACATCTTGGATGATTCCGTACCTTTGAAGGGTACCAGAATCGGCCGAGGTTAGCCGAATGACTCCAGCATCACCAATTAAATGGGTGGTTCTGCTATTGGTCGATAAGTTTTGCTTCCGAATTGAGGCTTCATGAAGACAATTTCATATTACAATAATTTGCTCCTGAAGCATTCTCAAGGAGTCTCATATCTTTTTTAGTGCAAGTAAAAACATATCTACCCTTATCAGCAAATATGCATATTTGTTTTGCACCGATTCCACCTTGGACCTTATTATCAAGGTCATGACTTAAATACAAGGGCCAGACTAAATGGCTTTTATGTATTTTTAAATGGGATATTTCAAATATAAAAACTGAAAGATGCATTCTACAAGGTTTGTGCAGTTCTTGCAAGTCTTTGCTACGTCTTGGCAGAAAGCAACATCAATTCACTAGATTCATTTCTATTTCATAAATTTATAACTCCGTCCAATCAGTCCAACTGTTTGAAACTTGATATCCAAAAACTGCCCATGTTTCATAAAGATATTTTAGACGGTTTAAAAGTTAAGCTACTTTTACTGAATTTTTGCACTTGCTAGATGTCATGAATTCAAAACCTACAAAAACAGTTGGTCTTTTAGTTAGAAAAGTAACCATGGATAAATTGAAAGTTTAAAGATCACCATAAAACCTTGGGTTCAAAGGTTACTACCTATATGTTAAGCTATGAACAAGGTATTATGCTGGTAAAATTTATTTCCATATTAAACATTAACAGCCTTTGTTACAAAAGTGGAAATAAATATATAGCTTAAACACAGAAAAATTCCAGCTTTAATTTTAGCAATCCTTTTCCTTTTCTCTACAAAAATGAGGAACAGTAAATGAAATGTAGAAATTTTACCTTGACTTTTCAGAATGCTCTTAATCTTAGAACAAGAACCTGAAAAAGTGTGTACTATAAAGTGTGTCAACTTTCTACGAGATGACGTGTGACACACTACCTGTCTATTGGTGAAGGGTGCTGTAATTGAGAAAATTGGTTTAGGAAAAAAATAAAAAAATATGCAACATTCAGGTAACACTACATGCCCCTGGCATTTTCAACAAGGAGCATAAACATAACCAGTAAACAATATATATTAACATATATAGATGTATTTTCATCAGTCAAAACAATATCTCCATTTGATAGGATTATTGATTTTCGCACAATATTAACATATATTGCTTGACAACAAATATTACAATAAATACTCCATCCAAGAAAATCTGGCTATAAATATCACTTAAAAGCATCGTCCATCACAGAAATTGTAGGAACAGAATTTTAGCAAGTTTTACAAACAAATCACAGATTTTCGGTTCAACTGATTTTTATAAAACAATATCCAATTTCCATATTAAATTATCTGGAGATAGATTAATTAAAACTTAATAATGAGATTCTTCTCAAAGAAAATGCATGTTGCATTGAGTATGATCCAAGTGACCTTTCAACATCTAATTTCTATATAAATTAGAGATAAAACTTCAGAAAATATCATCAATGATTAATGTCCAAAGTGGAACATATATATATCACTGGTAAGATGTACATACAATAATAATGTAAATCATAAACACCATCCAAGACATCAATGACTGCCCGACTCACAGATCAGTTGCTCAACGGAAACGGTTCGCAGCGACACATGGAAGGGTTTAAAAATAGATGCCATAGCTCATCAAAAAAATTCTGGGGAGAACACTGTACATGCCATATAGTTAGTTTTAAACTTTTAATGGCACTTTCCCCGATAGATTTATAATTCAGAAAATATCATTAAATGATTTAATGAGTACAAGAATATACTACTGAACTAGCTGCTGACAAAACAATAAAGGATGTTAAGTTGAGAAAATCCATTTTGTTACTGCTGTCAATGTCTAAAGACTTATTGTTCAAACACCACCACCACCACCACCACCACAGAAACTGAATATCTACTGACAAATGTGTAGTTCAGAAAATACCGTCAAAGATACTGCTAAATGTCTCCTGTGGTGAATCAGAAATTGACCTAAAACAAACAAATCATCATCAGAATCAACGAGTGTTGATTAAAGCAGATACATGGCATTAATTTCTATTTTACAAACTCAAACACTTAAAACGCTTTAACTGTACGGTTCCTTACATGAACTTTATTTTAAAAGTTTTTACTATCTTCAACTTGATAAATGAACTTGGCACTTACATGTAGCTATTTGAGAAAATTAACAGAGTCTTCCAATGTTCTCAAAAAAAACACCATAATAGATACTTATTTTGAGTAAGTTGTTAAAGTATGGTGAAGCTGCGGAATAAAGAATAGCAGATGCTTATACGGGATGGGGCACATTTTGGGTTGAAAATGGTGTTCTTACTATAAATTTTATTTGGTAAAATTGGTGTTCTATGTATTTGCATATTTCTAAATCTCTCATGAACATTTAGACACTTCAACAAGTTTTTAAGCATTACTTATCCTTATGGATATCTTCAATATTAAAAACCAACTTACTGATCATCTATAGTAAAGAAAGAGGCTGTTTTGAATGCAGGTGGAGGGACAGGCTTAGTAGTCAGTCCTTGGCAGTCAGAGCTTATAGCACATAGATTTGACTGATCTGATACGGGGAATGATTGACAATCTGCCATCTTCTGTTCCTAATCAAAAGAAATTGTGTAACTCAATTTTGCACAAAATAATTTGATGACATACCAATAAATTGCTTACAGTTACATAGGTTCTTTTTACATGTTTGTCTGCTTGTAAACACCACTTTTGCAGAACTATAACTTGCACCAATATGAAATCTGAACCAGCACCTACCAACTCTTTAGGTTTATTGGTGTTTTTTTTTATTTAAACATATTTTATTGCCTTTTTTACATAGCAATGGAATTGGGCACAAGTTTTACAACTTATATCAAGCCCTTTCCCTTTATTGTTGTATATAGTATATTCAAACATTACAAAATATCTTAGGTATGATGGCAATGATCTTCATCATACATGAATCATATGTACTTATTTTTATATTTCATGACTTTGGTTTCAGAAATATGAATTACAACTCTGATAGATTGACTTCCTATTGTATTGACATGTGTACTACTCACCAGTTGTTGGGTCTTACTCTGGGACAGTTCCCAAACAGGTTTTAAAACATTGTTTTGGAGCCGACTTCTTTGCACTGAACTCTTATAGGGATGGCTTTTCTGAAAACCTTCATGCTCATGGTTATGTTCATTGCAATGGATATTTTCATGTGTAGGTATGTTATTTTTGACATTCCCTCGACTAGAACTGTTGCCCTGGACGATTCCTCCACTAGAACTGTTGCCCTGGACGATTCCTCCACTAGAACTGTTGCCCTGGACGATTCCTCCACTAGAACTGTTGCCCTGGACGATTCCTCCACTAGAACTGTTGCCCTGGACGATTCCTCCACTAGAACTGTTGCCCTGGACGATTCCTCCACTAGAACTGTTGCCCTGGACGATTCCTCCACTAGAACTGTTGCCCTGGACGATTCCTCCACTAGAACTGTTGGTTTGGATGTTTCCCTGCCTAGAACTGTTGGTTTGGATGTTTCCTTGCCCTAAACTGTTAGTTTGGAAGTTGCCACTACTAGAACTGTTAGTTAAGAGGTTGCCCCTACTAGAACCATTGCTTTGGATGTATTTTTGTCTGTAATTGTTACTATAGCTATTTTCTTGTACGCCACTGTTGCTTTGGGATTTTCTTAGCAAACTTTGGTCTCTTTTTCCATTGTTGTTTTTAACACTTTCTTGCATACAACTACTTTGGAAATTACTGCAATAGCTGTTAGCTTGGCCGCCTTGTCTGGGTTTGGAGTTGGATGTCCCTGTGTACCTATTTTTGTTGTTTAAAAAGGTCTTAGGTCTGACCAGCTGTGGAAATGAGTCTAAGTCAGACCTTGGAGATGTCAATACTGCTCCAGGATTACTTTTCTTGCCGTCAGTTGTCTTTCTGAAAAGTAAATAGCAAATCATCAGTTAGGATGTTTTCAAAGCATGTTATGCTTTTGAGACTTTGCCAAATAGCATAAATTATCCAAGTGGAATTCTTGCTTTATTCACAATTTTTACCAAATCTGATTGAACATTTGTGAAAATCTGTGAAATATATAATGCAGCCTTGCAGTAAATAATGTAAACCAATTTCAAAACGGGAAAAAAATAAGCATAAAAACATGAAAAATTCCACTCCTGTAGAAACAACAACACTACACTTCATGCCTGTGTGACTCAAAACCCCAGTACAACAGTAGAATGGATATGTCAATATCTCCACAAGGCAAACAAACTGACCCTTAGGATATAGCCTTCAGCAGGGATATGATGACATCCTTAATACGCTATTCCCTTATCCCTCCATATTTCAGTCAGCACCAATGTAGATGCATTGACTGGATTTGATATGGAACGTACTCCCTTATACTAAAGAAAATAACAATTTTGCTAAAAGAACAACATGGCCGGGCTAGTTTCTAATATAAATAGTGTATTGTTCTGGAGTAAAAATTACCTGATTCTGTCATTGTTGGTGGAGGCATCTAACATCAGGAGTTCGTTGTCACTACCACTCCAGTGATCCTCCTCACTCTTTGATCCATTTGGTGATGCCTCATTCCCCTGTTGGTTAAACATAACCCAATTTTTCTGTTGGTTGGGTGTCACAGGACAGCTCTCATTGGCCTTCCTTTGCGAGTTTGACCAAGCTACCACTTGTCCAAATCTATAATTTCAAAAACAGAAAAGGAATTGTTTTGTACCACTTTTGCAAGATTCTGTATTTAAAGATCACCTTTGTTGCTAATATTCACCTTTGGATATTACTTTGTGCACTAGGTGATGTCATATGTAAAACTGAGCACTTCAGGAGTTTTAAAAATGTTGTAGGTTTTCCACCTTTAACATATTGCTTTTAGCATATTACAAGCTTTCTTTTTTTCGAACATATTAAGTTTCAATTCAAATACATAATATTCTAGAACACCGGGAGTACATTCATATACCTGGTAACATAAACAGATGTTTATCATTAAGATACATAGACCTATAATTAACACAAACATGCAAACAATGTAATTTTCTATCATGATAATATAATAGAAATCAAGAAGAATGCTTCCTGGCTGTACCTGTGTGGTGTCGATGAGTTGGTTTTATCTTGAAGAGACAACTCTCCTTCTGAAATCTCTATCACATCATCATCATCACAATGCTGTGGATATTTTCTTTTTTTCGTACTGCTGCTGGGAGTGCCATGCAAGACTGAAGTCCTTGGTTTATCAACACTGAAGGACAAACTTGCTCTGTGTGTATCAAAGGCACTAGAGAGTCCATCTCCCGAGTTTTGAAAGTTTGCATTATCATCGTCCCAGTCGTCAATACAACTGTAGGACAAGGTTCCATCTGTATGTGTTTGAGGGTGGTAGTCCATTCTGTGAGGACTTGGGATTTTAGATGGGAACAGACTTGAACTGATACCGAAATTTCCATACTGTTCTGCCATCTGGTACTGTGATCTATACACATTTAAAAGACAACATATGTTGATTTAACACTCATTGGATAAAAAAGCAAGTCTTGATTTTTCTTTCCATTTTATATCTACATATATTGTGGACAACTGTTGGATTCAACCATCTATTAATGAGGACAATGGATATTTCCTTGGTACAATGACTTGCACAACACAAACAAATACCAGGTATCAAATGCATCTTACCGATTGGTGGTTTGTACTTGAGGTGAGTATGAGTTGCTAACATTCAATTCCGGAAAGTCGTAGTCATCCTCTTGATGGGAGTTCTCAGCATCTGTACGGAGACATTTATCTCAATGGTGGATTTCTATATGTTATATTTACAGTTATGTTTCAAGTCCCTATATAAACATCAACAGAAGAAATAGAATATATATGGGGCTAGTGGAACAGTGTTATTTTGATGCTTCTCTTGCATATTAAACAGGAGACTATCATAATAAACAAAGGTATTGATGATGTTAGGTTGTTCTAGGACTTAAGTTTCCACTGATGATCATAGTGATACATAACTTTTTTCTCTATCTCAATTCATCACTTAAAGGTACACATTCTGGACTGATTATTAAATCAACAAACCTTCCTTGTATTCCTCTCTGTGTTTCTGGTATAGGTCTAGCTGTGCCCATTCGTTGTACTGGGGTTTGGTCAGACCTTCCTGCTGCTTGCCTTGTCCACAATCTCCAGCCTCAGAGGACATAACTGTGCAATCTCTGTCATAAAACTTGGAGGTCTGGGGCCTTCCTGGTGTGGTACTAGTAGATTTACAAATCTCATCTGATGAACCGTCGCTGTTAAACTGGTCAATTGTTTCATGGGTGCTGTAACCTTCATCTGACATTACCATAGTCTCCGGTCTCTTTGGTGTGTATGCAAACTGATCCATGTTGATAGACTTGTTGTTTATACTGCTTATCTAAAAAGACATGAATATTTTTCTCTTTCTATGTATTGAAAAGGTGAAAAAAGAAGCACCTCTTCAGAGGAAAGGTAATTTAAAACAAATCAAAATAATGGCCAAAAATGACTTAAAGCTCTGATTTTATACAAAACTTCAAATATGATTTTTTTTTTTTAAACTCATTAGTATTAACTGACATTGTATAATGTTTGTAAGAATTTTGAAAAACACAATTACAAACTTAACCTGTACATACCACACATCATGCCTACCTTTATCCTTTTGGCACTGGGAGTATCCGGTAGCATGGTCAGTTTATTTTTGAGGCCAGATATGTAATTACATATGCTTCCAGTCTTGGGCTTGGATAGCATAGGGATCCTGGGGGTCGCAGGGAGCTTAGGCTTTGCCTCGGTCATGGAGTTACAACACTTGTGCCCACACAGAGACTTATTGTAGCAGCGATGATTACAGGGCCGGAGACCATCAGATGTTGTTTGCACACCTATAGTTTAGTGGAATATCCAGTAAAAGATCACATGTCGAAATTGATGTGACATTATTGTTCCAAGAATTTGTCATACATATTTACTTTAGAAACAAATACATGTAGAACTGATCTTATATCATTTGACAAAAGATGGCAGCTAAAAGACAGATTTTATTGACACTTATTTAATTTTTTTTAATTTCAAAATGTAATAAAATTTATTTATTTTACAACAAATGTGAACAAGTTATTTCAACTTATATTAATCACTTAGCATTTTTTATTGTTTTGCTCTATATGACCTTGCATGTTCCTGGACCAAATCTTTTCTAAAGGACTGATGAAAATCAAAAGTTACAGCACAAACTGATTATACCAAGTTCATTTTCATATGTGAGGAAAGGAAAGTAGCTAATGTAGTCATGATGCACTGATGTAATTGAGATTTTGACTTTTTCTTTAGATTCTTTTTTTTTCAATTTGCAACATAATTAATTTGTGGTTTAATATACATCAACGTGATTTATAAAACAAATTGGTAGACTGAATCCCTATGACTGTTAATCTTTTGACCAACACTATATACCTGTATATCTGCCACCTGACTGTTGCTGATTGCTGCCATCAACCTGTGAAAATTTCATTTTCTCAATCAGTTCTTCAGATGTTTTGGAACTTCAGAAAAAATTGGATTGATGTAAATAAAGTATTAACTAGAAATACATTTAACCAACAAAAACAAAACTTATTAAATAAATATTTTTTAATGTTATGTATTCCGCTAAAATCATATATCATTTTTTAACTTAATTTCTTTCAATTTTGAGAGCTGACTTATCATTTATAGGGTTTATAGAACTTCCAAAAGGAATTAATAGCTGTCTGCATCATTTTCAATTCAGATCAACTAAACAATTGACGGATGTGAAATTCTCTACTACTCAACAAACTATACACCAAAAGAAATATCAATATGCAGTCCTGAAATAAGTACCAATGATTGTAATTGTTGAATCAAATTTCCACACATACTCCTTCTCTAGCTGCTTAATATTAACCTGAACCGATTTTAAACAAACTTCACATAATGTTCGACAATAAGCACTTATCTTAATTGAAATTCACTGGTACCATGGGACATGTTTTACTTTTGAGGCCTCAGACCTGTGTTCTACCTTCGATGGTACATTGGAAATCCTTGTGGCCCCAAGATAGTAAGGTGAATAGGTGGTCTCCACATCCAGCCCGACTACAAACAATGAACAAGATAGTAAGGTGAATAGGAGGACTCCACATCCAGCCCCACTACAAACAATGTACAAGATAGTCAGGTGAATAGGTGGTCTCCACATTCAGCCCAACTACAAACAATGTACAAGTATATCAAATGAATCCTCTTGCACTGACTATCGAGACCTCAGGGGGGAAATACAATTATGCATACATAAACATTTAACAAGCATATTTAGCCAATGTACAAGATAGTAAGGTGAGTAGGTGGTCTCCACATCCAGCCCGACTCCAACCAATGTACAAGTATAATAAGGTGAATAGGTGTTCTCCACATCCAGCCCGACTACAAAAAATGTACAAGTATAGTAAGGTGAATAGGTGGTCTGCACATCCAGCCCGACTACAAACAATGAACAAGAAAGTAAGGTGAATAGGTGGTCTCCGCATCCAGCCCGACTACAAACAATAGACAAGATAGTAAGGTGAATAAGTTGTCTCCACATCCAGCCCAACTACTAACAATGTAAAAGATAGTAAGGTGAATACGTGGTCTCCACATCCAGCCCGACAACAAACAATGTACAAGATAGTAAGGTGAACAGGTGGTCTCCACATCAAGCCCAACTACAAACAATGTACAAGTATATCAAATGAATCCTCTTGCACTGACTATCGAGACCTCAGGGGGGAAATACAATTATGCATACATAAACATTTAACAAGCATATTTAGCCAATGTACAAGATAGTAAGGTGAACAGGTGGTCTCCACATCAAGCGCAACTACAAACAATGTACAAGATGGTAAGGTGAATAGGTGGTCTCCATATCCAGCCCAACTACAAACAATGGACAAGATAGTAAGGTGAAAAGGTGCTCTCCACCTCCAGCCCGACTACAAACAATGTCCAAGATAGTAAGGTGAACAGGCGGTCTCCACATCAAGCCCAACTACAAACAATGTACAAGTATAATAAGGTGAATAGGTTGTCTCCACATCCAGCCCGACTACAAATAATGTACAAGATAGTAAGGTGAACAGGTGGTCTCCACATCAAGCGCAACTACAAACAATGTACAAGATGGTAAGGTGAATAGGTGGTCTCCATATCCAGCCCAACTACAAACAATGGACAAGATAGTAAGGTGAAAAGGTGGACTCCACATCCAGCCCGACTACAAATAATGTACAAGATAGTAAGGTGAACAGGTGGTCTCCACATCAAGCCCAACTACAAACAATGTACAAGATAGTCAGGTGAATAGGTGGTCTCCACATTCAGCCCAACTACAAACAATGTGCACGATAGTAAGGTGAATAGGTGGTCCCCACATCCAGCCCCACTACAAACAATGTACAAGATAGTAAGGTGAACAGGTGGTCTCCACATCAAGCCCAACTACAAACAATGTACAAGATGGTAAGGTGAATAGGTGGTCTCCATATCCAGCCCGACTACAAACAATGCACAAGATAGTAAGGTGAATAGGTCGTCTCCACATCCAGCCCGACTACCAACAATGTACAAGATAGTAAGGTGAATTGGTGGTCTCCACATCCAGCCCGACAACAAACAATGTACAAGATAGTAAGGAGAATAGGTGGTCTCCACATCCAGACCGACTACAAACAATGTACAAGAAAGTAAGGTGAATAGGTGGTCTCCACGTCCAGCCCGACTACAAACAATATACCACCCCCTAAGCTGAATAAGTGGTCTCCGCATCCAGCCCAACTACAATCCATGTACAAGTATAATAAGGTGAATAGGTGGTCTCCACATTCAGCCCAACTACAAACAATGTACAAGATAGGAAGGTGAATAGGTGGTCTCCACATCCACCCCTACTACAAACAATGTACAAGATAGTAGGGTGAAGAGGTGGTCTCCACATCCAGCCCGCTTACAAACAATGTACAAGATAGTAGGGTGAATAGGTGGTCTCCACATCCACCCCTACTACAAACAATGTACAAGATAGGAAGGTGAATAGGTGGTCTCCACATACAGCCCGACTAAAAACAATGTACAAGATAGTAAGGGGAATAGGACGTCTCCACATCCAGCCCGACTACAAATAATGTACAAGATAGTAAGGTGAAAAGGTGCTCTCCACCTCCAGCCCGACTACAAACAATATACAAGATAATAAGGTGAATAAGTGGTCTCCACACCCAGCCCAACTACAAACAATGTACAAGTATATCAAATGAATCCTCTTGCACTGACTATCGAGACCGCAGGGGGGAAATACAACTATGCATACATAAACATTTAACAAGCATATTTAGCCAATGTACAAGATAGTAAGGTGAACAGGTGGTCTCCACATCAAGCGCAACTACAAACAATGTACAAGATGGTAAGGTGAATAGGTGGTCTCCATATCCAGCCCGACTACAAACAATGTCCAAGATAGTAAGGTGAACAGGCGGTCTCCACATCAAGCCCAACTACAAACAATGTACAAGTATATCAAATGAATCCTCTTGCACTGACTATCGAGACCTCAGGCGGGAAATACAACTATGCATACATAAACATTTAACAAGCATATTTAGCCAATGTACAAGATAGTAAGGTGAGTAGGTGGTCTCCACATCCAGCCCATCTACAAACAACCTACAAGATAGTAAGGTGAATAGGCGGTCTCCACATCCAGCCCGACTACACACAATGTACAAGATAGTAAGGTGAAAAGGTGGACTCCACATCCAGCCCGACTACAAATAATGTACAAGATAGTAAGGTGAACAGGTGGTCTCCACATCAAGCCCAACTACAAACAATGTACAAGATGGTAAGGTGAATAGGTGGTCTCCACACCCAGCCCGACTACAAACAATGTAAAAGATAGTAAGGTGAATACGTGGTCTCCACATCCAGCCCGACAACAAACAATGTACAAGATAGTAAGGGGAATAGGTGGTCTCCACATCCAGCCCAACTACAAACAATGTACAAGTATATCAAATGAAACCTCTTGCACTGACTATCGAGACCTCAGGGGGGAAATACAACTATGCATACATAAACATTTAACAAGCATATTTAGCCTCATGCTATCACTCGATGTGGCACTGATAAGAATGCACATAGTTTAAATATGGACTTCTTCACAAAAAAGATTTCAGGTGACATATTCTTTTATTCACATTTGAAATTTGGACTGTTTAATGACACTGGGACCTAGTTGGTTTTCACATAATTATGAAACATCAGTGTTATACAAAAGCCAATATTCTCTGATTATTTCCGTTAACGGGTGACCTACCCCAGTCCTGACTGATGAGGTGGATGTATAACTCGGACCCTGTAGCAGCCCTCTGAACATCCAACTTTTTAGTGAAGCCTGATTCCTTCTGTAAATACGAGTCCCTTAAAAAGACAATGAACAACAACAATTGAATACACAATCCCCAATTCATAAAAAGGTCAGTGATATTCAGTACTTAAACTAATTATTCACCCAGTTTCAGATAGCCATGGCTGATTGAATTCTGGTGTTGTTCCTTACTGTACTGAACAACACAAACGTTTAGCACAGGACCAGATTACAAGATAAAAGACATTAAATTTCATATCTAGTTATCAATAATTTCACATCTAGTTATCAAATTTATCGGCCGCTTGAATAGACAAAGAAAACTTCCTCTTAAACATTTACAGTGGAACTCAGATAACTTAAGTTGAGATCACTTGGATTCCCCCCCCAACCTCTTCATCTCATCTTCATCTATATACATTTTCTTAAAAACTCACACACCTTTTTCCTAGACCCAATGTTTTGTAATAAAGCAGGTTTTACTGTAATTGTACTTTGGTAAGCTCACTGTAAACATATAAAGTACTGTGACGTTAATGTGTTACTGACATAAGTTTGCGTCTGAAGATGATCTTGTTGTCACTGTTAGCAACCAGAAGTATACAGGTATGGAACAGGGAGGCGGTCTTCTTATTTAGTAGGCTTGTCTGGTTTGCAATGTTGAGGTGTAGCAGAATCTCTGCAGTACCACTGTTGTATCGTGACACCTGAAATAAATCAAAATGTGATACATATATAACTTCTGTTTAATACTCAGAACTTTTAAACAAGATTTCGAAGTCAGTATCTGATACTTTTTATCTATAACAAACTAAATCCTGGACCCTAAAACTTTGCAGTTTATGAATCACTATAAAACAGGTCAAGATTTAGTGTAATGTACAAAATTTCCAGTAACATACAAACTTAAAGATAATAAAGTATACACACTCACAGACATTTGAATTTCACATTCTTTAAATCAAGTGAGAAAAGTCAAGTACTGTACCTGCTCCATAGTCAGTTCATATTTAGGAAGATAGGTGACTGAATCTCGTACCTGGTTACCAAAAGGAGGATGTCTGTTGACAATCTATACCAAATATAATGGAGGGAATAAAATCAAATATTAAAAGACGACAAATTAACAAATGATGTAAATTTAATATTATATTTTCAAGATACATATATTAATAATAATTATAATTAATAATAACAATAATAATTGGAGGTTCTTATATACCGCTTTATCACAACCTAGTTCGAATTTGTAGGTCGTCTCAAAGCGGTTCACAAATTATTACCTGTGGTTATAGGGCCTTTGCAACCACCCAATACCTTTCTCAGCACCCGGAGCATACAGCCCGAGCTGCCATTTCGGTGCAAACAGCTAGCATTCAACAATTTTAGCACTGCCCAACCACATACTCACTAATATACAGCTGAGTAGACTGGAACAAGCGGAGTAAAGTATCTTGCTCAAAGATACAACACATTGCCGTGCCGTGGCGCGAACCCGCAACCCTTCGGTCACGAGCCCGGCGTCCTACCACTAGACTACCGTGCCTCCTAATGACTGCATTCAGACTGTTTTACCATAAATTACTGCATGCAAGCATTGCTGTTTACATCAACCATAGATGAACATGTTAAATGCCAGTAAAATGCATAATATACATACTTTTATGCTACATCAAAGTCTACAAAAAAATAATCTCAGGATTTAATAGCTGAAAAATAAATTGGTAAGAAATTTAATTACGCTGTTGAAGGGTATGACTATTATCTCACCAGTTCTAGATCTCGTGGATTGGTTTCCTCGATCTTTTGGAAGCTGGTGATCCCAGCATTGACAAGAGCTGTAGATAGTGCTGGACCTGAACAAAAATAAAAGAGTTTCAATCAGCAATGGGGACAACCAGAATATTTCTACAATCATGAACTTGTATATTCCTGCATCCAGTATAATTATATTATTTTACATTAATTTTATAACTCAGTATTAACTTCAATCTATAAATATAATTATCATTTCGGTGAAAGTTCAACCTTTCCATGCATTTACATGATTTGTTCCAATCAGTAGGGTTGGACACCAATGATAAGATAGTTAGTATCTGGTATACAGTAGTGTCTACTAAGAGTGTGAAGTGTCCTAGGTTCAAATACTAAAATGGCAATTGTATTGCAAGGCAATCCATAGTTGCTCACCTATCTCATAGTTCATACTTCTTGTACTCTTGACTCCAATGGCCAGGACATACTCACATACCAAATCTCGTTACTTCAGGTGAAATAGTATGGAAGATATGCCCCTGATAATCATTTTTCAAAGGTGGAGGTCAAAAGTCTAACCATGTATCACAGTGACCTATTTAATGAACTAGACACTTCACCATCTCAGGATGTACATGCATACCAAATGTGGGTACTCCAGGTGAAATAGTTTAAAAGATATACCCCAGACAAAAAAGAATTCTGAGGTTATGGGGATTTAAGTGTGAAGTGGTCAATTAAGCTGTGCTAGAGTTTTTTTTGTATACACTCTTATTTAAGCTCAACCCTTTCAAGGATTTAGAAGATACTCTGACAGCCAATTCCCTTCAGTTAGCTTGACTTTATAATACACATATATGTGTCTCGTGTACCTATCCTCTCTAGCTGTTTGGCTACATGTTTGGAGTTCTCCCAAAGCTTGGCTTTGATGGCTTTACACAGCTGTGCAGCACTCAGGAATGCCTTATAATCATCCCGTATCCACAGCACCTCCATCAGACCTACAAACATAAGTCCACAATTCACACATCTGATAGAAATCAAGTAATGTCCTACAGTCAGTCACCTATAAACACAATTACACACTTAACTGATGGAAATGTCTTCACACAGATAAGCAGTATTCAGGAACGTTTTATTCTGACAGCCTCAACAAAGAATAAACTTTTGAAATCATCACAGTAGTTAACCTCAATTATTATACCTCTACTTATTTTACACTATACAAAAGTAACCACATAAACAAGCTATTTCCCCTCTAACTGCATGCCAGGGAAATAGTTCGTCTGGAGGGGTGCGATAGTTTTGAAACTATTTCCCTAGGAAAATGCGGAAAATTGAGTGACGTCGTGGGCGGGGCCTGACCGAATATGGACCAATCAGCGCAATCAAATTACGTCGGCTATTTCCGGCCAGCAGAGCCGGTACTTTCTGGATCGACCTTCACCGCGCATTGTTGTTGACAGACGACAACAGAAATGGCGACCACCAGGTTTTCTGTGTTGGACGAGAGCGAGTTGTCGGACATATTGGAGGCAAAAGACAGTTGGAACACACAAAAAAACCAGTACAGGCATCCGTTACTTTGCTCTCTAGCTACCTCACTGAAAAGGGTTTGAATATCGCGGACATGGAAAATTTGTTATCTAATAATATTTAGAATATTGTAAGGCAGTGTTTGTATCGGTATAATAAAACAGTTGAAGTATGGGTATTTCGGGATATAGCAAGTTTATGATCCCCCTCCTCCAGGACTATTTCCCTCGGCTTCGCCTCGGGAAATAGTCTTCGCCTCGGGGGATCATAAATTTGCTATATCCCTCATACCCATACTTTAACTGTTAACTATAGAACTATAGAACTTTTCATTTTAGAGGCAATTTTTGCCAAATATAATTATTCAGACTGTCTGTGATATTAGAATGAATCCCTTATGAATTTTAAATCATGTCTGCAATGTATCAGCTATGATTAAAAGAAAAATGTTGTCTAGAAACCACTTAGTATCATTTACCTAGATTTCATGATGACTATAGACATCTGCAGTAATAATTACCAGAATACATGTATATGTATATATGTATATATAAGATGCCACAATTGTTTTTTCAACTTCCAAACAACAATTGATGAATCTCATCAAGTCCCTTAACCTACTTGATGTATGGAACCTTGGCATTAACAACTTCAGCAAAATGTTATACCTGTGTCAGTCACAACAAATCAAGAGACATTACGAAGGAACCCTGAAGAAGACTTACATCTAGAAAGTCTCTGTGCAGCTCTGAATATCCTGGTGATGTCCTGTTGTAAAGCAAAATCTTGAACCAGAAGGCAGCCCAACTGTGCTTGTATGAGGCTAAAAATCATATTGGAAGTTTATCATAAAATAATAAAACTGAACTTATTCTATTCATTTTATCTTCAGCACTCCACTTAATAACAATAATAACAATTAGCTACTTGCCTACATTTGATTTGGTTAGTGTTTTACGTCCTATTAACAGCTATGGTCATTCAAGGACGTGCCAGGTTTTGGTGGTGGAGGAAAGACGGAGTTCCCCGAGAAAAACCACCGACCTACGGACAGTACCTGGCGACTGACCTACGTAGGCCTCGAACCCACAACCGAGTGGTGGAAGACTAGTGGTAGCAGAATGTCAGACCCCTTAACCACTTGACCACCGCGGCACCCTACATACATTTCAGCAAATCTTTCAGAATATACAATTTATATGATTTTAAATTACTATGTGTCTTAACTACACCTAGAGTAATCTAGTTTGTCATTCTGTAACAATGAGCATATAAGTCTTGATCATTACCAATTGACTTTCATTTGCTTCGTCTTGATCTTTCCTTGCAACTGATACCTGAAAAATAAAAATAAAATGCTTTTAAGAGTGCATAAGCAAGATTTTTTTAAAGGGGAGTTAGGTGTTAAAAGCCTTTTCATGAGACACAAATACAAAAACAAGGCAGAGTATTGCAAGGCAATCCATAGTCCCCCACCGGTAAAGATTTCTATATTTAACAAACAGTACACTTATGTCAGGAAGCATAGGTCACAGTTAGGTCATAGTGACCTACTTCTTGCACTCCGCCATCCCAAGATGTCCTTGTACACAAACACTGGTTACTCCGGGTGAAATAGTATAGAAGATATCCTCCGGACAAACTTCTTCAAAAGTTACAAATACATGAAAAAAAAACAATTGTAACCAAAAGTTGCAGTGAGCATAAGCTAGCATACCTAGTCATTCAACAAACATCCATGTGAAGTTTCATCAACATAGGGCTAGTGTTGTTAATTTAAAAAATGTGTGGAGAAGAATAAGGTGTGAGATGAATGTGGGCTAAAAAATTAATGCCATTGTGAAGATTGCTTTAATTTGTTGTGTTAATAATGATAAATATGTTCCTACTGACCTTGCATGAACTTGGTTTAAAGTTAGGCAGCTTTCACAGTTTTGATGTAGTTTATAATGTACTGTATCAAAACCTGTGTTTGTTATAGTTACTTTGATACAAATAATACCTGATGGTTTGTCTATTCTTGTCTTTGTTAAGAGTGTTCAGCGTCTTCTTTTCATTCACTCTCAGTTGGACCTCCATGAACTCCTCACTCCCAGATACAATCCCCAACTTTTATAGAAAAAGAATAGATGTCAAGTTTACATGTGTCAATACATACACTGTACTTTAGTTACGATGAAGACAATGCAACAGACCAGGCAGGAATTCCAACCCCGGACCCTACTAGCTGTAGATGGATGCTCTTTTAGTTACTAACCCTTTCACCCCTATGTAACTTTAGTAGACTCTACCATGCATTGATCCAGATGAGTCTATTTTGGTCTACAGTTGTGAAAGGGTTGACTGAACTGTCTAGTCACCAGCCTTCAAACCAGCAACAAATATGTTTTATATTGTGGTGATATGAATATAAAACATACAGACAAACTTCCATAAATCAGACTTCAAAGATTCCAATTTCTTGATGTGTCAAACTTACTGCAAAGTCCTGATTTTCCCCCTTAATTAACACTACTAATATTCTATTCATGAACCAAACATTTATGAGTCAAAATATTTTTGCCATTTCAAAGGTTATTTAAGGTCTCTTCATTTTGAAAATATTGAAAATTACAACTGAAAGATCGAAGTGAAAAATGAACAAGTACGTTAAGACATGCACCCAAAAACGAATTGATAAACAACGAAATGTTTCATTTGATAAGATCATCATACAAACTACAATGTATAGATAAACATGGTATTCTTATAGATTTAAAATGTTCTTAGCCTGTAATTTGTCTTTTACGTATCATATTCTGTCTTATTGACATTATTTCAATGATATGTGTTGGTCCCATAAAGTTAAAACATTGGAATTTTACTGTATATCATATGTAATGTGCTATATAGATGTGTATAGTGATAGTCAAACATACATTAGAAACTAGAATGCTGGGATTTTCATCTTTGTGAATAACTCAATTAAGCAAATTAAGATAGGAACAATATCTCTGTTAAATCATTCACCCCTGAAGACACATTTGAACTCTTCTAATTCAAAGGTTGGTATAGTTCATTATGAAATTTCAGGGGTGAATGAGTTAATAAAATCAATACCAGGTCGCTGATGCTCTCCTCTCCTGTAACACCACAGAACTTCTTCATTGTCTCAAAGGCGATGCAATATCTTGCCATCAGTCTCCCAGCCTCTGAATCATCAATCAATCATTCATGTCATATAATAAACAAGAATTTCCTTACTTTGAATAGCAAATTATACAATTCTCTATGATCATAAACAGTGACAACAGTAAATCCCTCTTCACTTAAATTATAACTAAATCTGTAGACTGAATTATCAAATGCCCTAGGCCTCCATCTACATTACCAAGTATATAACCATACATGCACACTGAATATCACTTTCCACCCACATCAAAAACATGCCTTCATGCTGATTACAACTTTCCACCTTCATTATAAACATGCCGGCACACTAGATATCATATCTTTGGTTTGGTTTGTTTGTGTTTTACATCCTATTAACAGCTATGGTCATTTAAGGACGTGCCAGGTTTTGATGGTGGAGGAAAGCCAGAGTTCCTGCAGAAAAAAAACACAAACCTACAGCCAGTACCTGGCAATGCCCTACACAGGTCTTGAACCTGCGACCCAGTGGTGGAGGGCTAGTGGTAGCAGAATGTCAGACGCCTTAACCACTTGGCCACCACGGCCCCCTAAATATCATATAACTTTCCACTTCATTATAAACATACACTGTACCTGTAGACTGAATGTCAAATGTGTCTCCATTCATTTTTATCATCTGGATACCAGCCAATTGATTCAGATTCCTCATACAAAGTTCTGAAAAAATAGAAATTAATACAAAAGCACTAATACAAAAATACAAAAATACAAAATTTACAGTGGTAAAGGATTCTTTGAGAGATAGATTTCATTTGTAGAATCTGAAACCATTGACTATCAGAGCACAGTATATTTATTAATGATTAGGTATCTCTGGATTTTTGCTCAATTCTGAACTTAAATTGAATGATATCTAAACAAGTTTTATCTTGCCAGATTAAAAGTGTGGAAAGACTGAATGAATTTTTTATGCTATTGATCAGCCGTAATATAAAACCGCTTTCACGATTTATTTAGAGTACACTCCTTTTTTATGTTATGGCTCAATAACGTAAAAAAAACTTTCAAGTTAATCCTCAAATGAAAATTATTAAAACATTTCATATAACTGAAAGCTTTATTGCTTAGTAAAACAAATACCAACAAATGTTTACCTTGAAGTTTTGTCTCTGTTTGATCTCTTGTGAGGCCAACTGGCATTCCTGTAACACATGTTTTTTTATAAACCTGATTGACCTTCTTAAATTTCAAATGTTTAACATATTTTAAACAGTATCCTACAATATTTGCAGTGAGATATGTAACGTATAGTACTCTATATGCTTATAAACAAGTCCAATCATCTGTACTCGGTACTAGTACTGACCGTAGTGTTTGGGGTTCTTCATCACCCTGATGTAGAGGTAGGTGTGTCGTATCCACTCCATCGCGATGGCCATGTCACTGATGGTTTGCAGCACAATCTCAGCATTCAGGTGCTCTATCAGGTGCTTGTGTAGGCTATATTGGGTTAAAAACAAATTACCAACACCTTTTTTCCAAGATGGCTCAAATTTTGAAACGTGTGAATTTTACTCGGTTGTAAAGATTTCAGTGTAAGAAAGGACTTGGGAGCATGGTACTTGGGAGCTCTTTGTTAAACAAAAAAAACTTGAAATCAAAACCCTAAATAAGTTCTGTTTATACCTGCTCTCAATCATCTGTGTTCCATTCAGCAAAGATTCATACTTCAGCTGTTCATAAAGAAAAATATCAAAGTTAACGAAGAAAAATATCAAATTTCACAAAGAAAAATATCAAATTTCACAAAGAAAAATATCAAAGTTAACGAAGAAAAATATCAAATTTCACAAAGAAAAATATCAAAGTAGATTGAGCAGTTAAGAAAAATAATGAATGCACAAGAGGTCATGGGCAAATCATTTGTTCTAATTTTGAAATTAGAACTGACCATTTTCTTCAATTTTTAAATGAATTGATAAGGTATCAGAAGTAAAAGATTACTTGATATGTGAAAAGTTTAATAGAAATAATTGATTTTACCTTGCTTTGTGTCTTTGTCATAATAACAGCAGTTGCAGTAGTATCAAACTGAAACATGCACCAGCAATCAGATATTAAGTCGAAAACATTACTGGTTGAACAACAATATATTTAATGTATAGCTAGCATACTACAGAGGTGGAAAATATACACCCATCCTCGCCATGTAGCATCCAGCAATCCAATTGGACCCATTGCATGAGAAAGTTATACACTTCAAATGCTGCCGATGCATCCTTATAACGAATGTATGAAAATATTGAAATGTTACAAGAATAAACTTCATTTGCACCATGAAAATCAATAAAATAAAATTATCTCAGGGATGTGGCAAGATTTCTACATTTCTCTTTGTGTTATAAGTTAATTCTAAAGAGTTCCTGATATAGTGATAATGACTAAAGCAATGAATCAATTTGAATTTCAAATACTATGGATAATTATTTTCAATGAGGAAAGTCTGCTGCTAATATGTGTTTTTTTAGGCTTAAAATAGAAAAGGGTTGTTAAACTTGTCTAATGGAAAAAAGCAAATATGATGGGCCTGCTAATGACAACCCTTAGTGGTCACTTAAGGTCACTTACCCTATTTGATCAAATGATATTTTAGCAAGTTACATTACAGAAACCAATATGAGGATGGACAGATGGTGGGACAGAAAGATACTCATAATTTTGATGGGCCTATAAAATAAGAATTTGTTTAATGTTTTATTCCATAACATGCTTAAACACATTTCTTTTAATAAACCAGAAATTGTTCCATTTTATAAGTAATTTTCCCACATCTGCACTCAATCATGTTTGCCATCCGAACACTCATATAATAATAATAATAATAATATACAACATTTGATATAGCGCTCTATCTAGCTAACATAAGCCACTCTAAAGCACTTTACAGTACATAGATATACAATTAATACAATTAGGATATACAATTTTTGAGGAATTTGCAGGAGCTGCCTGATCAGGCGCGAACTACTAGTCCTATGCCACCTGGATAATATCTCCCTATGTGTGTATGCCTGCGTGTGTGCTGGAGATGTATTGTGTTCTGTTTGTAGTGGGACCGTGCTTCCAACGGCATCTTCTTTATATTGCCATCTCACTTGAATGCTACATCACAGATACCGCAACATCCACCCCAGACCATTTCATACTCCACCTGGGTTGTCGGAGTTAGAGTTATGGAAGTATTTTTATCCTATTTTACAGTCAATGATACCTCATGTTTAATGCATTCCAAGCTTACCACTGCTAAGCAAATTTTACACATGTGAGGCAATTCTGCAGGTACCTTCTTGCAGATGAAAATTTAAGGCATTATATGGTATTAAATAATTCTTCTACCTGTGGTCGTCCAGCTCGTCCAATCATCTGTAGAACTTGAGTGTTGGAGTATTCCTCTAGCATGCCCATATTGTAGTGCTGAGTGGCCTTAAGGATCACCAGGTGGGCAGGGAGGTTCACACCCATGGCCAGAGTGCTTGTAGCAACTGTTGAAACATTGACCAATATCAACTATGTCACCTGATAACAAAATTTCAATGTTTGTACATCTTTGTTTGATAATTATGATAATAATAATAATTTGAGGTTCTTATAGGTCGTCTCAAAGTGGTTCACAAATTATTATCTATGGTTATAGGGCCTTTGCAACCAGCCAATATCTTTCTCAACTCCCTGGGGAGCATACAGCCGGTGCTGCCATTTTGGCGCTCACAGCTAGCATTCAACATTTCTGGCACTGCCCAACCACATACTCATTTACAGCGAAGTAGACTGGAACAAGCGAAGTCTCTTGCTCAAAGATACAACACAGTGCCGTGCCATGACTCAAACCCACAACCCTTTGGTCACGAGCCTGGCATCCTACCACTAGTCTACCATGCCTCCTAAGGATTAGGATGCTATATATTTTTTGTTTCATGTTGGATGTCAAGAAATAAACCAATATTTTAAACATCTAGTAACGAACCCAAAACTTGTAGTTGAGATGAAGCAAACAGCTCCTCCATGTATTTTCTATCTTGAATATCCATCCCAGCATGGTGAACACCAATACCCTTTATCAATGTGTCTGAAAAGAGCAAGCAGTACATGCTATATTTACCATTTGCAAAACAGGTTAAACATCTATGCTTGAGAAAATTATCTTAAACATTATTATTTGACAATAAGTCTCAATATAAAGCCCCTCTTTATCTGACTGCATTAATGAAATATAATGTCCCTTATTTCCTTTGCCTCCTAACTTAATAGCTTACTGCCGACATACATGTATTTTGAAGTAACAATTCCTTTTTAAGTCATTCTTGATATATGCCAAATCTCTTTATAATAGCAACATTTTGTGGGACAAATTGTGGTAATAAAATAAGGTTTTACTGGACTAAAAAAAAAGCTGGTCACTTATGGAGAACAGTTCAATTGGTTTGACCAGAGTTGTTCGTTTATGAATTAAGGTTGAACCCAGTAATTTGATGCTGCTTTCAGGCGAGCCTTGACAAAGCCTTGGAAAGCCTGCACAAACATTTGCAGGTCTCCCAGGATTTATACCCGAAAATGTTGCATTTAAAAACGGACTTACCGGTTGTTCCGCATAAATGAACAGGCCCCTTGTATTAAAAGATGGCAGACAGAACAACAAATACCATCAATACAATTCACAGTAAGTACAGATCAAGACATATACCTCTGAGTTTAGCATCCTTTACCAGATTGGAGTATTTCAGCAAAATCTGTCTGTTTTTAACATCCTTGATAAAGGTACTTCTACTGTCTTTGGCCAGAATGTCAGCAGCCTGTTGAGTACCTTTCCTTGTGGAACAGAACTGAAACAACAAAATGAATGTGTACTGTTCCACACCTTTTTGAACGTCCAGCCTCTTCTCTTGAGATATTGATTTTTTTTTTTAAATCTAGGACTGAACAATTAGAAGCAATCTTAATTGCCAATAGCATAAGAGATTGCTAATCTCTCAAGACTGATTCTGCTTAAACCAAAATTGTTTTGCCAAAACAAACCTCCAAACAACAATATTTGAAAAACAAACATAGGTCCAGCAGAAACTGCATATCAATACAACAGAAACTAAATTAAACATTACATAATTCACAATCCTAAAACTATAGTCTTTGAACTAGATTTAAATGTGTATATGAGATGAATATCTATGTAAATTAAAACTAAAACCTACCAAATCCAAAAAGCACTTTTGGTTTCCATGATTACTTTGAACAATGCAAGTTTCACTATTTATTTAAAACCAAGGACATTTAAAAGATAATTATCCTACATTTTTCATGAATGGAAACGAAGTTACTGAAATTCTAACTTTCTAATCACATTTATTCATTTAAACATGGAATAATTTCAACAGAAGATAGACACAGCTGCCTACCACCAGTGCAGGTTTTCCATCTGAGTAAGTGTTGATGATCCCACCAAGCTTGTAACTGAGTGACATGTCAAAGTGGAACCCAGAGCCTTTCTGTTCATCAAACGGGTACCCAAGCACCACCTTCCTAAGTCGCACTGGCCGACAACTCTCATCCATCCTGGAATCAAATATTTGAAAAGTCCACTTTCTTTTCTTTGGGACAAATGCACAATTTATTTGTCAATCTATGTATGATCCAACAGACTCTTTGTAAAATGCTGAATGATGAGCCAAGTTTATATAATCTGAAGTCAAATGTGTGCTTTATATTTTGTTGTATGTATTTATGGTGTGCTTAACTCTTATAATTATGAACTGTACGGCTGTAAGCTAAAAGTACATGTATATTTTCAAATTTTGATCAAGATCTGTGTTAAATGTTTGTTGTCATACTAATGAATATTTATAAGTTAAACTGTGACTATACATTATAAAGGTAAATATTGATGGTGCATTAATATAAAACAAGAGTACCGCGGGGCGGAACAATTAAAATACGCCCGTCGAATGCCATATAGCGTTATATACTTTCTTACATTGAAATAAGATCTGCATCGTTCTAAGAGTGGTTATATATAATTAGCTGACATATGCTATAAACAAGAGGCCCAATGGGCCTGCATCACTCACCTGGTATTAATCTCACACTTGTAATCTTAAAAGTGGACTAAAATACAGTTACAGGCAAAATATCAGTGTTTCATTCATAAGAACCTATTAAAAGATTTAAACATATGACATCTGTGACCTTGAATGTCGAACAAGGACATTATAATATTAGGTTGAACAGAGTTTATAGTCTTCCAACCCAGCATGCTTCTGGAAAAATATCATTAGCCTGGTCCTTTTGGTTATACAGAACAAATCATTTTAAGATTTAAACATATATTGACCACTGTGACCTTGAATATGGGCGAAGGTCATTCACTTGGTAGTCCTTCATCCCAGCATGTTAATGGCCAAATATCATCACCCTTGGCCTTTTGCTTATTAAGAAGAAGTCATTCAATGGTTTTAAACATATTTGACCCCTATGACCTTAAAATATATATGTCAAGGTCATTCATATGAACTTGGTAGTCCTTCATCTCAGCATGTTACTGGTATTATCCTAGGCCTCTTGGTTATTCAGAAGAAGTTGTTTAAAGGTTAAGAATATATTTGACCCTGTGACCTTGAAAAAAGATGAAGGTCATTCATTTGAACAAACTTTATAGCCCTTCATCCCAGCATGCTACTAGCCAAATATCATCACCCTAGGCCTATCGGTTATTCAGAAGAAGTTGTTTAAATGTTTAAAACATATTTGCCCTCTGTGACCTTGAGTATAAGTCAAGGTCATTTATTTTAACAAACTTGGTAGCCCTTCATCCCAGCACTGGCCAACTATTATCAACCTAGACCTCTTGGTTATTCAGAAGAAATTGTTTAAATGTTTTTAACATATTTGACCCCTGTGACCTTGAATATAGATCAAGGTCATTTATTTGAAAAATCCTGGCACCCCTTCATCCCAGCATGTTACTGGTCAAATATTATCATCCTAGGCCTCTTGGTTTTTCAGAAGAAGTTGTTTAAATGTTTTTAACATATTTGACCCCTGTGACCTTGGATATAAGTCAAGGTCATTTATTTGAACAAACTTGGTATTCCTTCATCCCAGCATGTTACTGGCCAAATATCATCACCCTAGGCCTCTCGGTTATTCAGAAGAAGTTGTTTATAAGATTTTAACATATTTGACCCCTGTGACCTTGAATATA